CTGCTGAACTCAGCATCTGTGAGGAGGTGAGAATTTAGAGATTGTGAACACAGGGCTGCCTGGTTTGAACTCTACCTGGTACTCAGCATAGTTCTTCAGTCCAATGCCAAGGAATGGTTTGAAGGCATCCATGTACTTCAGAAACTCTCCACCTAAGACTGTGCACAGAAAATATTCCGGTTAGGGGAAAAAAAAAAAAAATCCCAACCTGCCACGTATTTGCTGGAGTTCAACAAAACAGAAACCCACCATTATATTCCACCCCAAACCAGTAGCTGTACGTTCCACAGAAGCACAACAAATTGATTCTCACACAAAAACTGAGCAGTGAAATATGTTCATCTGGACTAAACTGAGATTCAAAAAAGCTCAATTCTTTGCAGGCCTTTGAGACAGACAACCCCCTCCTGTGCTCAGAAAGGATGTTGAGATCTTTCTGCCTGAGCAGACCCTTCAGAGGGAGAGGGACCTGGTGGCACACTTCAGACAGGGCTCGGCACTGTTACATTGCTTTGCATCAGCTGCAAACTCTACACCTTTTCACATCACTTTACTGCCATAACATATTCCTTTTGGAAACAGCTGCTCAACTTCTTCAGAGCCATGCAGTTCAAGCAGGGCACTCTGCAGTATGTTTATATTTAAGCAGTATTTGAAGTATATTTCTGTTCTCCACTAACTCCTACCTTCCCCTAAGTCACTTGCATTACTAAGACCATTCATGCAGACTTATCTATCCAAAAGTGAAAAGGCCTTTGTCCCAAGAACATACACACTTTCACTTGCTGTTTAGCTTGCAATGATCCCACACTCAACCTTCTCATTCGCTTCCCAGCTTCCTCAGGCAATCCCACTAAACATTCCCGAGAGCAGTCAGAGGGGTACCTGCCAAAGACCTGCTCTCCAAAACACGCTACTGTTGGAAGGGGCTACTCCAAAAAGCCCAAACAAACTCTGCTGCACTTACAAGGTGTCCTGTGCTCTCGGAGCAATCAGGCATGTACTTCTGCAATGAGGTTACACATAGCCTTTGAACAACACCTCAACTTTCACACTCATACACAGCATTTGACAGCAGAGTGTGTTCCTAGAGCTCCAGATGATGCCACAGCCATCACCTTCTAAGCCTGAACCATGAAGCTCAAACTGCCTGGAATACCACGACCCAAATTTTATTTTACTTCACCCATTCTGACCCGCTCTAATGCTGATCTTTGCCACCGTGATTTCTTTTAAAGAAGAACAATGACTGTAAATCCACCACTGACAAAACTCCACAAAGCAACCACGGGTCACAGGCAGCAGCAATTATGAATCATTAAGATAACGTTAAATCTGGCCTGCAGCAGCATGAAGAGACCAGGTGCCCGCTGTGCTGGGCACTGTACGAAGCAGCACCACGGTGTTTTTTCCGGCAGAATTTGCATTGTAGCTACGTTATTAACGGACAACAAACCATTCGTTCACGAAACAGTCTAGTATTAACTGCCCAGTCTCAGATTCACAGATAGATGTGGCGAGATGTGTGGTCAAAACCAGAACTCAAGCAAAACCAAGAACTAATAATGCTTTTTTGCCATAGAGTCAAAAAGAGAAGGAAACAATACAGTTCTGTCCCAGCTCTGCCTTCCCCCAAACACAACCCTGCTCTGCAGCGCAAGACTGACCTTCTACCAGGGTGCTGACTGCCATCAAGGCATCTTCCTGCACACCTCCTGAGCCCGCCGTGCTCTGGAACATTCTCAGCAGAGATGCCATCACCACGTCAGAGATCTGCAAAGCATCCTGGTGCTGGACCTTCCGGAGGACGTTCTGGGAGGGAATGGAGAAAGAGATTGTAATTGCTTCCATCGATGCAAGGCTGAATCGCACCTTTACATCTCCTGAGTTGGCTCCGAACACTCGTGACCACATGGGGCTACTAAAAAGGAAGCTGCTGTTTGAACTCCATTGCTGCAAAAATATGCTTTGTCAGTGCAAGTGCAAAGTCCCATTCATTTTAGCTGCATTCAATTTTCCAGCTACAGAACAAGCTGAATTTACCTTTCCTGCTGCATAGGCTATTCTCTGGGCTTTCCATTTGTAAGCTGGCATTAAATGTGACCAGCCCAAATCTGGCCCTATTAAAAAAAAAAAAGCTCTTTTCCATCACAGCAACGTGACCGCAATCTCTTACTGCCCAGTGTGGGTTGCACGTAAGCTTTGCTTCTAAACCATAGAATTAAAACTTCAGAAACACTGGTTGTTAAACTATGACAAAAGCATGTTCTTACTGCTAACTGCAGTCAAACCTCTGCTACCCAAGAAGGACAGAGAATAAAGTAACATACAACCAACGCAAAATACGTTTACAGGAACATGTTTAGCACTGTGGTGTTTGAAAAGCAAAACCGATTTCTGGAAAGAGCAGAGGAGCCTGGTGAGCACACATGTGCTCTGTGTCACCCAGCACATCACCGTGAGCAGAAGGGCCAAGGAAACACCCAGGTAAATACCTGAGCTTAACCTACGCTCTGCTTCTACTGTCCAGTTCTGACCGTCCCTTTCAGCATGCTGAGCTACAGAACACAGCTTTGATGTATCCTTATTTAAAATAAATTTGCATTTCCTGTGAAAAGAGAAAGACCGATTCCTTAACTTGCAGAGGAAAATAATTACCTCAAGCCTGATTCTTCAACTGAGTCACTCCAAAGAGATTGACTTTGACTGTATAAATAATTGGTCTTGATTTTCTTGTTCCTTTTAAATCCTAACAAATGTTTTTCTTCTGTTGGGTGTTCATAATTGTATTGCCAGATAAAAACTATGTAACAAAATAGTGTATTTGACTATGTAACACTGAAAAAAGTCCCTCCACTGTTTTCTACACAACTACAAATTAAAACTAGCATTTTAATTCCATCTGTGCCACCCGTACTATAGGCAAACAGTGCTATCCTGAAAGAGATCAGTGATCACACTGTGCCAGAAGGAGAGGTTGTAGATACTGAAGTCTCCCCATAAAAGCCTACCCTAAGGACAGATTATTCCCACCTACCCATTATTTGAAAAATTATGCTAGAAGTTGGAGAGTGAAAGTCATAGCTAATGCTATTGGCTTTTGAATGAGAAGGATGAAGTTAACGACTTCTCAAAAGAACCCGGAGACAACACCCAGGAGATCTCCTGACCTCGAAAAGGGCGAGGAAAAGGCCCTTTTAACCTATTTAACCTTTCCTGGGCTAACAGGAATGAAGGAAACAAACTGCAGAGAACAGGTAACACCACCCAACAAAGGAGTAAATCTGAGTAGAGATACATACTCTGCTCTGCTTTTGTTTCAGGTTACACAGTACTCTACCTCCAGAAGAAAACGTTCCCTTCTGAGCTGCACAGAGCTGCTTGGACGCTGGATCTATGTCTATTATGGAGTTTTAAAGCAGCGTCTTACAACTGTTAATAAGCTAGGCACGACCACACAGTACCACCCTTCCTGCAGTGCAAACAGGAAAGCTTCAATACCAAATACCACGTATTTCAGAGGATGCTCTGGTGAATCTCCTGAGCAGTTTTGCGGGGGAAAAAAAAAAAAAAAAGTGGCTGTTTTCAGTGGACTTTCTAAGAGTAAGCAAGGAACTGAAATGCGCTAGTACTCCAAGTCACATGGGCTGTTCATTACCAGATGTTTAATTTCAAGGACACTCGGTGCATTTTAATTAGTGCCATTTTAAATAAGAACACCAACCACAAGAGGCAGATGAACAAATTAAAGCCGTTACGGAGGTTTTTTGTCTGTGCCAGCTAAAGCAATTGTTCAGCCTGTAGCCAACACAAGAGCTAATCTGAAAGCCTATACAACATTTAACATGCCACATACAGTGTTCTTTATTCATATTGCCCTAAATTTTATAAGTCACACTCTGCTAAAGCCTTCTGAACCTTGTATCACCTCCCACATGTCAGCTGGGACACAAGATCAAATTTCCTCATTCAGGTCTCATCGACAGGACCAAATCTGCATCCTCGGGGCCACAGAAATGTCTCTAAAACCGCCTCTCTCCCATAACTATAACACAGGAGACAGGAACTTACCTGTAGAGTAGCACAAAGAAGAGACTGAAGATCATTGAACTGGATTCTATCAGAAGTGCTCTGGATATGAGACTGAAAAAGAACAAAACCCCACATGTGAAAAGCCTACATCGCAGTCCATGCAAACCCAGCAGATTTTGACAGCGCCGTGAGTTGCACAGATTCAATTTTAAATATCCATTTCTTCAAATTTAAGATGAGAGGTACTTGTTGGAAGCTTAATATATCTACCTATCTATAAAAATAATAAAAATGCATTATACCGTAAGATACACAGTCAGCAACAAAACTCATTTTTTCTACGCCAGATGAAGCCGCAGCACAACAGGAACACCACACCTACCGAGTTTCCTTAAACCCCTTACTGTAACGGGGCCTTAAAGCTTGAGTTTACCTACCTCCATCTGCAGCACTTGCTGAAGTCGTTCCATGATGACCAGAGTTGTCTTTTGGACAGCAGGGTAACAGTCCTTGGCACTGTTTTTCACTATTTCCATCAGAGATTCATATGCAGAACTCCTCAAGTTATTCTGGTGTCCATCAGGCCTGTAACAGAAGGAATGTATTTGCAGCTCCCAGTGCTCAGGCTTGCTTAGAAACAGACTTTTTTTTAGTAAATCGGTAACAGCTAGATTTTAGTGTTGTGACAAGCAGAAGCACTTGCATTCCTGTATTCCAAGACTTCAAAGTAAATTAAATTTGTGAAGCCACTCTTGGAACATTTTTTCATTCGCTACTAGTAATGACTTCCAATATCTTCAGTCACTGGCAGCAAGCACAGGAGCAGAAAAAGCCTCAAACCCACATCTTCCAGTGTGCTGTTATCCTGCCTGGGAAGCGATGGTCTCAAGAGGTGAGCAGCATACATTACTACCTCTCTGACATCCCTCTGAGATGTTGGTGAGGGTGTGAAATTTGAAATAAAGACAGCTGAGATCTATGCTAAGATGACTGATTGGCTTCAGAGCCTTGAGCTAGACACTACACTTCTGGTTGGATGTAAATTAGACAAGAATTTAGACTTTGAACTGTTCAGACAGGGACACCATTTAAGAAGTAGTCGTCCTGCAGCAAAAGACTTCAATTGACGATTGAACTGATCCAAGGATTGAACTCTGCGCTGTCAAGATTTATGCGACCTTCAAGGCAGAATATGTCGTCAGCATTACCCTTATTTTTGCATCTGCAGAACCGAGAAAAATATTTTGCCTCATCTATTTAGATTTCAACTTAGTTGGGAAAAGGACAGTATCTAGCCTAACTAGGTCCTCAGCTCTTCTGGGAGTACCTGGAATAAATGGATGTAACACTACAGCAACAACCACGGCTTAAAACAATCCCAGTAAGGATGAACCGTACGATACACATAGACTTCTAATTATGTCTTGCTGCAATCCTGATTATTCAGTCACCCTGTAGCCAACCTTGAAGAGTCTTATGACCACTGTACAGAGATGTGCACAGTCTTAAACTGTGCTTGGCAACGTCAAAGTGAAACATGGAAGAGGCACTCTTGGAGGAAGCCCCAGACTTACTAAAAGCAGATACGGACAAAATACTGAGAAATTATTCTGTATGAATAGCTTTCTTCCTGGGGGTTAGCATTCTATATTCCACACGATACCAAAAAAGCCTGGTTCTGATAAAATTCTATTCAGATCTATGCTGCAAGAGAAAGAGGGCCAGCAGCCTGAAGTAATAAAAAAAAAAACACACTCAAAGCAAAGCATCTTTGTGGAGCTTAAGACAGCCAGTTTAGTGTTACCTATCTGCAGTCTCCAGAAGTTTCTGAACTATTAGCTCAAATGAAGAGGATAAGCAGTAGGTTGCTGGTTCCTCCTGATCATCAGCTACATCTGCAGCTTCATAGGCAGCTTCAGCAAGACTAGAGAAGGCCTGAAACACAGAACAACCATTTCTGTTACTCAGTTGAGTTTACCAGTTTTCACTTTAGAAAAAAAAACAACGACCAAACACAAAAAAACAAAACAAAACAAAAAAAAAAACAAACCCCCAACACCCAAACATGTACAGGATTAACAGCTCCCCTCATGAACAGCTAATTCTTCAGCACACTGAACTTTGGTGAAACAGCAGTCAAGGTTTCAAAGGCTTATAACATTAACACCCAAGGCAGACACACTGTCTGCAGTCAAATGTACACACATCGTTACTGGTCCCAACAACTGGTAGCTGTCAAGAATCAGACCGAATAAAGGCAGATTGCTTGAACCTCACACGGTATTAACAGATTCTACCCACTATCCAGCATCACCATCACAAGTTAAAATCCTGGTTTAGACAAGGCCACAGACTGCTCAAATTCCCAACTGCTGAGCAATTGTAACTGCTCTGAGACACAGGTGGATTAGAAGAGTTGAAAGCCTCCTGATTTTCATTTCAATCTAAAAAACACATAGTAGTCATCATCTTCAGAAAACAAAAGCCACAGCTACATGGACTTTTGCCAGGATCAACGTATCAGGGAAAAGCTTCCACGCTGACTAGAAGTCTTCAAACCTCTGGAATACGAAGAGAGTGAATTCTGTCATTTCTAAAGCTTGTTTTGACATGCAAATACTCATCTCTAGCTCAATTCTTATTGAGCAGCTCTCTTAAAACGCAGTAAGGGACACATCCTCTTTATAGTGAGAGATGAGATATGCTACTTGGTAGATGACATGCATCAAGACAATGATACAACTGAAGTTAGCAAACCAAACTCAAGGGACTGCAGCTTTAAGTGAACAAAAAAAAAATCTCAGGCTCCTCAATTTAGTTCTGCAGAAGCAGGCTTAGGTAATGGGAAACAAGGGATCTCATCTCTCCTGTAAGATTAAGAAGGCAATCCCAGCTGCCCCCAAGAAAAAAAACTAAACCCCAGCATGCCTTTTCTAAACAGCTATCACACCTGTAACCAAGGACAGTTTCCATAGCATTTTCAAACCAAAGGCAACTTCGACACAGTGAATATTAGCATTTTTCTCCTTAAAGTAAGTGTCTTCCTTTATTCTTTCCTAGCAGAGTACAAAACAGACTTGAGATAACTTACGGTTAACAACAGTTGTGTGTGCTGGATGACCAAGCCATGAGTCATCTCTGAAATCCATTTAAGTCTGTGAGTATATATATGTGTGTGTGTATATATATATGTATATGTGTGTCTATATATGGCTATATATGTGTGTATTCATAGATATGAATGTATGCGAATACGAGCTGCATTCCCCTTGTTGACAGGAACGTATCACACATCCAGCAGCAAAAAGACTGCCCTACCCAGCACACGTTGGAGGCCACTCTGGGCTCAGCACTCAGGCCCTCCATCAGACACTGCAGCAGTGGCGCGAGGTAAATGTCATTGATGGCAGCTTCAGGAAGCATCTCACAGATCCTGCCCACGGTCCAAGCAGTTGTGTCTCGAACTACAACACTGGGGTCCTTCATTAGTTCTATTAAAGTTGGCATTGCCTAGAACATAATCACAGTCGGGAGAAAGATATGGATCTTTCCAAATGCAATATATGGAAATATGAATTTGCCACCATTTCTGATTCTACCATCTCATTTCTGATTTTAACACACTCCCTACAAGATAGCGATAGATTGGAGAAGGGAGGACAGTCTAGGCCATTGTTCTAATTTTAAAATTCATAAAGTTATTTCCCAGGGGGTAAGACTCAAGAACTGACACATCTGGAGTCAGGTATTCTGAGGTCCCGCAAGTCGCTATGATTCAGAGCTATGTAACCCAACTACTTGCCCTGGGCCTACAAAATCTCTCTAAAGCATGATTAAAAGGTGGCATCCTCTTGTTTTTCCTCAGATTAAGAACAATGTGCAAAGCAGGCGTCCTCCTCCAAATAAATCAGAAAGTTTTTGCTCTATGAGCCTCCAAGAAAACACTATGAATCTTACCTGTATGACTAGTGGTTTGAGCTGGTTAGGCTCTGGTCCTTCCAAAATGCACCCAAAAGCCATCACAGCCGCATCTCTGTATCGCCAGTCAGGATTTTTAATGTGTTCTTTAATAAAGGGCAGCACATGAGGAACAATGTCATCTTCACAGCAGGTCGCCAGGAGCATGAGGCAGACTCCTGCTGCTTTGCAGGGGTTCCAGTCGTCGTCATCATCATTTTCATCCTAGGAAGAGAACACCTCCCCTGGTCAGTCTGAGGGGAAATATCCCTTACTACTCACAGGCAGCGGCATCCTGTTGGACCTACTGCAGGTAACACTGCTTTATTACCAGGTGTTATATTTAGAAATAAATTCAGGTCTGGAAGTACTAGCTACATCTCTGGCAGAGAGTTACTTGCATCATCTGTACCTTTCCATCCTGGTGTAAGGCTGCTAGCTCTTACTGACGCACCTACAGTAGCCTCATACGTCTTCCAAACTGCTTCCCTCTCATCTAGCTTGAGATTTTATTCTTTTGATCCATGTCATTGCCTTGCAGAGTGGCCTGCTGTACCAGTTAAATAGCTTCTTCCCCACCGACTGTTAGCTCAGCCACTTACCAAATTCCTTTGAAGCTCTGTACCTGTGATTCTCTTATCTGTTTTATCTTTCCTGTTTTAACAAGCACTTTTAGAACCTTCTGCAATTTAACTCTCCGCACCCAAGTGGACAGTGATACAAAACAAACAGGGGAAACAATTCCCTGGATTCGCTAAGAGCACCAAGCATTTTCCCAGTTCATTGCAGTAAGCCAAATGAACTCCTGTATGGCTTAATTAACAGTTTTATTTTATAATTAGACCTGCTGTAGCAAGCGATTCTATTAATTTTGATTAGGCTGTGAAACACAGTCCAAACAAGTCCCTGTGAAGTGCTTAATAGGTACTAAATAAACATGGACTTCACAGTTCAAAAAGTAACTATCAAGAATTCCAGAAATTGTATCTCCAGTAATACAGAGACTACACATTGGTTTTAATTTCACAAACATTTTGTTAGGAATACCAATAACTATCAAACCTCTTCAGAAACCAAAAATACAAGCATATGTTAACAGAATTCAGCATAAAGACGATACCACATGCAGTCTCACAGTCTCAGCCCTAAAAAACGATGCATCATTCAGTCAGAGTGGTGCATGATGTCTCATCACAGACCAAGGACTGCTGCTACGGGTGCTCTGAACAAGTGCACCGTTAAAAACTGCCCCAGGGGACCAAGAAGTCACCTATGCAAGGGAGCAGTGACCACCACTGACAATTTGTTCCTCCATGCAACAGTAGCATCACTGTCCCAGAACGTGAAAGCAGGCATAGTACATATTTTTTGACATGCAGCAGGGATTCTGCAACTCACCTGTTTTGTTAATGTTTGTGTTAGAATTGGGACCAAATATTGTAGTGCTCCCTTCGCATAAAATTTGCTAGTGTGCTCTGGAGGCCTTCCTTGCTCTGCTGCCTAGAAAAAAAGGGTTAAAAATGATTCTCAGTGGTTATATAGGTATGAGGTCTGAATTACAAACACCAGTAGATACAAATTCCCTTGGGAGTGCTTTCCCCTCCTTCCCAAACTTCAAGTTACCATAACACATGGGAACCTCAAGGACATCCTGCACCAATCCCAGTTAAGTATTCAATAAGCAAGTTCAATTCACCATTCCATACACGTATAGAGCCCCTCCTCACATGGTACAAATATAAATATTTTCAGTTTGCAGCCACGTATAATTAGCAAGTGACCCCAAGTATAAGCAGCAAAAGGTCTTCAGCGTATAAACTAAACCTGTGTGCTGCTGACTGTCCTTTTACCCTTGCTATCCTTGCTTTTTTGAGCATTCAACATAAATACATATTTAGCTACTTTTAAAAATGGACATGATTCATCTAGAGCCCTTCAAAGTTTAAGCTCTTATTGATCTCTACAGCTAATTTACGCAAACAGCATCTGCATGCAGAACAATACCCCAAATTTATCTCCAGCCCCATACACTGTAAGGGATAATGATTACTTTCCCATAATTTTATGCTTAACTCATAAATAATGTATTATATAGAATGCGATCAATTCTTTTTGCACACTGGGGTGCAGGATTAAGTCCCTCATGTCTGTAACAGACCTCAAAAATCTTACATGTCAGTGTAACAGAGTCCACTAGGCCTCCAAGACAGCAGGTAATTCAAGAAATGCTTTCCTTTCAGTGTGGTACGTGTATCTCTACAATTCGAGATGCCGTCTTCACGAAGCAACGGCTCAAAGGTCTCCATGATACTGAGAATTTGCTGGTATTATAACGTGCCTAGTATAGATGCTTAATGCACGTTTAAGTTCACCTTACAGGAGTAGCTTGAGTTGACTTTCGAATGCTAAAAAGAAATCAGGTAGCTGTCACGTACCATTTGCAGAAAACTAACACTTGTATGTCACAGTGCGTTCTCATCAAACCTGTCAGAGAACCTTTACCTCAAGTAGTTTCAATTCCCAGCCAGGCTGGCATTAAAATAATTTTTCTCACTTAAAAAGGCAGTTCATCCTAATCTAATCTAGGAAGCGAAAGGGGTTATGTTCAAGCTACACTAAGAACTTTACATTAGGCTACAGAGCTACAAAATAACCCAAGGAGTTATTTAAAGGGAATTCCAAACGGTGGCCCCCGTGCAAGCTTAGCCACAAGCTTCACATTTACCTTGAACAGCAGAATAAATTAACCACAGCTGAGCCCTGGGCAAGACAGCTAGCACCCAAGTTAGCAGCTAAAAACTAAGCTGGGTACCACACCACTGGTGCCGACGGCTGCAGCGAACAAAACACCCGCAGACACAACCTGCCTCGCAGGCTTTGTGCAGCCTCGGGTCTCAGCTTCTGTCACAGACACGCATCACGTCGCATCAGAGTGGTGCATGATGTCTCATCATGGACCCACAGCTGCCACACAAGGCACTCAGCCGGGCTCTCCTACACTGTTCCACTTGGGAGAACAGGAGGACCTTCAGACACGGTTCAAAGACATGACTTCAGCATTCTCAAACAGATGATCAGGGGCATTCACCACTTTTCAACAGTCATTTGCAAGCTCACCTCAGATGCCTCTATAGCCAGGTCCATCTCCTCGTCGCAGACATTTGACCAGAACTCTATCCCCTGTAGAGCCACCTCATCTATGTCACTTTTCATTGCTTCAATAGTTATCTTTAGAAACATAAAAGGAGGGGAGAGGACATTTTAGCAAGTTATTTTTCCCGAAATACGTGCCCCAGCTTTTGGCCAACTGGTACGAGATTCGAGATTGTCTGAAATCAGATGCCACATTGGAGTTACTGTTCTTGAAGACAATCTCCTCATTTAGAAGTTTATCAGCTATCAGCACCTCAGGAGGACTGCAGAGCAAGTCAAGCAATCTGTACTGTCCTGACTTTTGGAGTCTCAAGTCTGAAACACCTGATGCTGGTCTTAAGGATTTTGCTAGGAGAGAGGGGTTCACAGCAGGCAGTCACAGCCAAAGAAAGAAAAACAAATCCGGAATGTAGCAAAATTTTTTCTCTTGGATTAAGACAAAGGAGCACAGGAAGGTCAGACAACTACGTATGAGAAACCCGAGTACTCACAGCAAAAAGCGCAGGACCCATGTATGTCTCCATATACTGATAATAAAGGGACATTATCTTCACCAAATTCTGTAAGGCAGCCACTCGTACCTGTCAGAGTAGAAAATGGATCAAAGATGTCACCTTCCGAGTGCTTTGAAAACCAAGCACAGTTGCAGCCTCCCACAGATTAATAGCTCAGCCTTTCTGCTGATTTAGTTTACTCCATACGCAATAAGGTCTTTCACAACAAGTGACATAAATCCTCCTAGCAGTTTACTACTTCTAACTTTAGGTATAAAACTCATTTTGTTCGAGTACTTACATGCACGCCAATCAAGTAACAGAATACTGTTTTATTTCACATAATACTTTTTAACTGTTTTTTGATGCTAGAGGTTCTAGCCAGCTTCCCCAGAAAGGTGCAGTGACAAATCAGAGCACTTATTTTCACCCACTCTTGTACCACTTTCACTCACCCTTGTATCTGGACACTGTGTTGCTTCACAAACTACTTGCATAATAAAGTGCCTTTCAGACTAGAAGAAGAAATAAAAGAACGTTAGAACTGTATTACAAAAGCATTAAAAGTCTTTGCAAGACTTCCTATGGAGGATGCATTTTGAATCTGGACTAGTACAATCACTCACAGAGCACTTTAAAAATCAAGGAATTGTACAAGTTACTATTCACTGCAGTATTTAAAATAATTTCTTCCCCAAAATGGAAATCCCAGGCTTCCATTTTAAAAAAAGTACTTAACAGGCTGTCCAAACCAGAAAGATACAGCAGAACTAAAGACACTAGCTTTTCTGGTAAAAAACAAAAAAACACCCCAACCAAACAACAAAACACCCCCCCAAAAAACAAAAAAGAGGGAAAAAAGAAATCCTACTGTTTCCTGAACTATTGCAGTAATTGCTTCAAGAAACCTCAAAACTCAGTCAGGACAAATTTTTTGAGAGACAGTACCTGGATATTTCTTGCTTTTCAGTAGGAAGGAACAGACTTATACTCAGGCTATTTACAGTACTGAAGCCCAACAGAAATATGGTCTGAATGGATCATGCACCTCTCATCTTAAATTTTGAAAGACTCGAGTTGATCTCCATCAAGATCTACTGAATAGTTGACATGGGAAAGTTTTCATTAAAAGACCTTCTAAACTGAAGGTTCAATATTAATCCCACCTTCCCCATACTGTCCCTGGTAGAGACCTAGAGGATAGACTTAATCTGAGAAGGAAAAGAAAAATCAATAGATTTTTCTGTTCTGAGAAGACTCTCATTCTGAGGCCCCTATTCTGAAGTCTTACAGGCCTTCCTCCCCCAACGATTTTCAGAGGCAAAGTTAAATCTGGATTGCTGCCACACCACTTGAAAGAAAGTGCTGATCCAAGCTTGTACTCTTACTGCCGCATTACAGAGTGGAGTGTGATTAGGAAGCAGAGCATCTAATAGGCTAAACTCTAAGGTCAGTTCAAATTTATCCAAAAAAAGTCAATGATGCTTCCTTTCCATTGATGAATCGCTGAAGATTTCCACAGTATTTCTGCATTACAAGAGGAACATACCAGATTTACAGAAATGAATCCAAGTCTCAGTTGCAACATAATTATGCATCAAAACTCAGCGTGGTGCATGATTTCTCATCATAGACCATGGATTCAGCCCTTGCATTTTAGGCCAAGAATTGTTACTGTTTCCCCCTCACCTCTTTGTCAAAGTTTGCTTTGGTGAATTCCAAAGAGTTAAGGAGTGCATTAGTAGCTGCTAGCTTCACATTGTTGCTGGGCTCTTCCTTTCTCATTCCCTGGATGATGGCTGTCAGGATCTCATTGGATTTGTCCTGAAGCTGCTCTGGATCCTAAAAGAAGCGTTGATAAAGTTATTTGCCAGCTGAACAGCTTTCTCCATATTTCAAAGTACCCTTAAAGTTTGATCCTGAAATCTGTCAGCAGAAGTTGTAGGACCTTCAGGCCAAGAAGCTCTTTGTTCACTGGGAGCACCAGAACACAAATACAAGGAATTCATACGCCATGTCTTTACAGCTTCTGGGAGAGAAAAGAGAAGACTGAACTGAGTGCACATAGTCCAGATATTCAAGTCATAAACGCCAAATAAACTGGACTGTTTCAAATAATAGGTCAACAAGTTTTAGACTACTTGACTTCATTCAGTTAGCAAGTTGAAAACCACTGTCTTCCAATTCCTTTATATACTGGGCAGAGGTCTATGCCAGCAGTTGCAGTTGATACTTCTATTGGTAAAGATGCCAATCTTGTTTAGATATAGGGCAAAAAGATATTGCCTGACCAGTCCCAAGGACAGGTAACTGTTAAGCACTTAAGCCTTAAAGAATAAAGCTGTGAACATAGACTAAAGATTAATTTTTCTTCGTGGCAAATTTAAGACCGCAAGATCCCCAAATAACTGTATTGTTATATAAGAATTTATCCAGCAGTGGATTCCCAAACTACAGCCACAAACTGTGTCACAAAGTGTCTGACACAAACTACAAAACTCTAAGAGGTATCTTGATTACAAAATAACCAACCAGTAAGCCTGGGCATCCAAAAATCCAAAGGCTAATGATACATGCCATCCAACCAAACAATGAACACGCATTCAAGTCTTGTACGGACTTGTAAGGAACAACGCTTGACCTGGAGCACTCCCCTGTACAGCCGTAGATTTCCTCTTTTATTTCACTGACCCTCTATGAAGCAACCAACCTCCCCAGTGAAACCAGCCCCAGGCAGCCTGATGTGAAAACACCAAATAGAAGATTTCTCCTTCTACCTCACTACACTGAAGTTCAACCAGCGATACGCCACACGTGCGTTCTCTAAGGCATTCAGTGGCACCAAAAAAACAGTGGTAGGTCAGACAGTGCACAGGGTTTTTGCAAGCAATTCTGATCAGATACTTGATGTAACACGTAGTGATACTGCAAACTACGCTGATAAAACCAGGAGACCTTTTGTAGAAGGTGCCTCAAAGAGCTTGTGCTTTTCTTGCCTATGCGTCAAAAATTCCTACATCAAGAACATGGAGACTCCTCACGCAAGATGAAAGTAGTTGTCAGGTTTCCCCAACACAGAAAGGAATCAAACGCTTATCTCTCATCTGTGACATTTTACACAACCGGACATTCAGTTGCAGTTTTATAACAGCACCCCTCACCATCATATGACCGCAGCAACAAACAGACTTAAATCTGCACCATACGAAAGATGACCTGGATTTGTGCTGTGAAAGCAGGTCAGTCCTTTCAGACACCATCGTTGTGTGTTTACTGTCCATCGTTCTGTCAGCACAGAGACATCCTCCGGACAAGTATTAAAAGACAGCCACAAGGAAGCATTACAGCCTACTGTAGGTGTACGAAAGGAAAGGCTGGAAGAGAAAAGGTGCTGGGAAGAGGCTGGGACAGCACTTAAAAAATACTGAAAATATACTCAAGATAAAATAGCACTTCAAATATACTCACAATATCCTGACAGATGTATCCAATGGCCTCCAACGTTGACTCTTTCATGTGCTCCGTACTGTGCTGATTTGTAACGTTGGCTACCAACTGGGGAATGAGTTCGGGCCACTGGTTCATGGGGATCTCTGCGCATGCGATGCCGGCCACGCACTGAGAGGCAGAGCTGGGCCTGTATGTTTCTGTACCCAATGTCTGCAAAACCTGCGGGAGAGATTTAGCAGGTGATGCTTTGATGTCGGTGACCAGAGACACGGTCCTCGGCTTGCCACCAAAGTCTTCACTCGCTGTTATTCCAAACACACTCCTTCCCCATTAAAGCAGTTAGCTCCTTCTGCTTTCTCCTGCTGCAAACGAGGCCATGACCATGGACAAATAATGTTTGAAATGAACTTGGCCACGGCTGCCCCTTTCAGGAAGTGAGATACAGCTGTGTGATTACACATACTTCTACCACATCCTTTAAATCCCATACACAATGCTATGCGCCATAACGCGCAACAATGACTCACTGAACAATTCCTCGCCGCTTGTATTATAAAGCAAAATTGCGAAAGCTAAACGAATTGTGGTTTTAAAAATCCCTCTCAAATACCGGACTGTTTATGCCAAGATAATCTGAATAGAACTGAATAATTTTCATTTGTTTTAATTGCAATCAATCAGAATAATAATTTTTTTGTATATGTCAATAACATTACTTTTAAAAAAATAATGGAGGGACATGCATTTGTTTTAGCATTTCCAGTTATATGTCTTAATTTTCCATATATCCACGTAATACTTTATTTCCAACGTTACTTGACAGAAAACAGTAATAAACTGGTTTTGTTAGCTTCAGTACACACCTATCTGACAGCTCCTGTTAACAGTGTAGTTCCCCTTTAACTACGACCAACGTAAATAAAAGACTAAAGTTGTATCATCACTTGCCCAACCTTATTCTGCTATACATGGATTCTATTAACACAGAAACATTATATAAAGCATATGGCCAACTTGCATCAATTACACAACCCTGCGTACATCCAAGTACGCCTTTGTTCCCATTAGCCAAAAAACACTAAGCCACCAGTTCTGCCATTGCAAGTCCTGAACTTTAACCGTCAAAGAGCACAGGAGTCCTCAGGCAAATTCCCCACCTATGTGAAAATTTAAGAATATAATTTCCCATTTGGAACGTGCAAATTTTTTGACCATATTCTACTCTTAAAATTTGCTAGGCCTCATGTAGACACATGTGTTCAGACACAGAGTATGCTTCGAAGAAGTTAATGTGGATTATAAAACAGTTGAGGAAGCTCTTCAAGTACAAGAAAAAGCAAACACCAACCCAGTTGCAATCACCCAGTGGAGAAGCCAAGCATGTTAGCTCCCACAATCACACAAGACTATTCAGAGGCTCCTTGTGAAAGTATTTACAGGTGTGAATTTAAAAGCAGCAGCCTCATACCTGTTTGGTTTTTTACACTAATAATCCTACAGATTAAATATGCTACAAGGAACAAAGCACCCAAGCAAGTGCAGATGACATTGATTGTCTCATGAAAGGGAGCAGCCAGACAACGGAAGACTCCACAGGTGGAAAAGGACGGACAAAACATTCATCGCTCATCCCCCTCTGTGAGAGAACAACAGGCGGAGAACCAAAAGTCTCAAAACTTACGTAGTTCTTGACTTCCCTGCGGGCGTTGGCGTCGATCGCAAGCCATCTCTGTTGGTACTGGGCCTTGATGTCGGGGTCCTTGGATGTCAGGGAGTTCTTGATTTGCAAGCCGGCCGCCACGCGGGCAACTTGGCTGTTGCCGGGGTTTGCCAGCACTCTGGACAGTTCCACCAGGAAGGTTGGCTGGGGAGAGAGGAGGGCTCAGCACCCACCTGCCTGCGCCTGCCTGCACCTGCCCCTGCCTGCACCTCCCCACTCAGGAGGAAAAAACTCCCCATTCACCCAGCAAAATGAGACCACGACTCACAAACTCCTTCTCTACCAGGCCAACAGCAAACCAATGCCACCACGCAATGACGGCAGCTCTATCCCGAGATTACAGGCATTAAGCTCCTGATTAGAACCGCTGGAAGGTGACGTAAATAAGCATTGACTTCGCTGGATTTTTTTTAGCTTACTTGAGAGACAGTTACCTTCCGTGCTCCTGCCTGCTTTAAGTATTCCTTTAAATAAACTACTCAGGTGGTAGGCCAAGATATGTATTTTCTGGATGGATATCAAACATGGCGAAGAGTAACTCTCTGCTACTTACTTCCTTGCTTCAAGGCAAACACCCAAACTATAATCTAACACAGGAATTGTTAAAATGTGAAATCAGATGCTCCTTTGGTGTATTACAAGTAGGTTTGTAAGATTACAAACTTGCTTCTCTGCCATCAAAGGTGCATAGACATCTGTGAAGATTGCCCCCCTACAAAAAGCGTGTACGTGTGGATAAAAATATCTGACATTCGTGCCACTTGCTTTTGGTGAGAGCTAGTGAGAACTGCCTCTGCATTTAAATCCTTTCCTGATTCGACAGCTTTACATTTCAGAGACTTCCGCTATGTACAAGATACAGCTAAAGTTTCAACAGCAAAGCTTTTTCATTTCACTGGCCCTACGAAGCATTTTGCCTATTAAAAAAACCCTTCTAGGAAACAGTGGAAGCAGCTGCACCATGCTCAAAACCGTTTCACACCAAGCAGGACCATGGTTTTCCTGAAAACATTTAACATACGGTTATATGTAACCCACTTCTAAAAGTCTCTGTAACAGAACTTAAGGTACATAATAAAGATTTTAGGGCATCAAACACTGCCATTTTTAAAACTAACTTAACTTTCAAAAGTTCAACAGAAACATCGAATAAGTCCAGTATCTTAGACTTCCCATTTTCAATGGCCAAGCGCAGGTCTTGAAAAAAATTTTAGCTGGGCTATCCAGGACTCTTCAACATTCAAGTTACAGACTTTGGAAACAAAAATGTGGGAGAACTTAAACTGATGCGCATAAGCCATTAGAAATACTCTGAAATTTTAATGCAATAGACAAAATCCCTACAAATATACCACACTAACCCACTTCCCAAGCATCATGATTGCTCATGTTTCATACACTGATTTTATTAAAAGTGAGGAACCATTCAAAAAAAGTTCACAGGACAAAACAGAAGTGTTGCTGCCACCTTTAAGAAAATTGTACTAGAATTCAAAGGTGAAGAAACATCTTTGGATTGCTCTACTCATAAATTAGCAAAAAATTTTTGTCTTTTCATGGAGCTTTAAGAGTAATTCCAGCTAAAAATGAGAAGCGTTACATTAAGCCTTCCAGACTTGAGAGTCAAAGCAAATGCAGATGCATACAGCCTCAGCTCTCACACCTACAGAAGTGTCAATGAAAATCTCAGAAAAGGGTCTAAATTAACTATGGTGAGGAGGAGGGGATGAGGAAGAACAAGCCGCTCCGCAGTGCATTTCCATTAACTAACTGGGAGATCACTTCCAGCTCTGGGTGCTCGGCTGCGGCCTGGGGTACAGAACCTCTTGCTCGACCCGGTATGTCCCACCCCTTCCCATCTCAACCCCTTCCCTCTCCCCGGGGCAGCCAGAGCTCTTCCCACCCACCACGTACTGCGACAGGAACAGCCCTGAACCCCACATCCTCATCCTCCTGCAATGCCGAGACATTAACTGCCCTCACAGCCTATGTGGAGCTCCTCAACACCTGGCTGGACCGTTCCACATCCCCATTCCACACCAGGGCACAGATTTTAGTCCCAGCATAAGCTCTGCTTCCTCCCCTTGCTGCCTTGACCTAGCTCTCACAAGGCAGCAAGTATAAACAAAACCTTGAAATCCTTCAGCTGTTTTAAAAGCCTGAAACCCAGGATCATGAGTAGCTCAAGTACATCACCCTGAAATACTTCAGGTAAGACTGAAGCTTCCCGGGCTGTCTAACAGGAGGGATCCCAAGACTTAACAAACGTAATTCCAGAGAATTTTAACTCAAAACCAACATTTAGTGCAAAGGCTACATCAATTCTGAGGGATGCTTCAAACACCTTAAAATGGAGCAACAGAAATAAAGACTCTGTGACTTTCCCAGTTTACACCAGTAGAGACCATTGTATGTAACTGCTTAAAAAATGAAGGATGCCAGTTCTGCTTGCGATGGCAACGCGCACGTGACATTACACCACCGAGCT